GCTTCCCAAGCGGCGCACTATCCAGTGCGCCACCGGGCCGGCCCCGATAACTTTTTTTTTATACCAAGCTCCCCATGAGTTCTTTTCACTTTATGCATTGACCCAAGTTGTCATAGAAACCTTACTGTAACTTAAAATGTATCTAATTCAAATGAAGTCTTCAGTGCTCATCCACAAACTTGTCTTGTGTGCCTTCTGCATGTTAAACAACAGACACTTGGGCTGAAGAAAACATTCCCTTCCCTCAGAGGTTCACATTCTAAGTTTTAATGTTGAGCTTGTTAAAAATAGATTTCTCTGTTTTTATGGATATAAATGTGCTTAAAGTTTTAGCAGTAAGAAATTGAGGAGACAATATGATCCAGTGCAAAGATCACATGAGCTGTTGAATCAGGCAGACCTTGGGTTCTGTACAGAGCCAAGTGACTTTGGGCAAGTCATCATTTCTGAGTTCCTGTGTTCTTAAATATAAAAAGGAAATATTTTCTTTGAAAGATTGCTACCAACATAAAATTAGTTAACCTAAACCAACAGTTGAATCCAGCAAATAGAGCATTTATGTGCCAGGCACAGTTCCAGTCACTGTGGCTTCAGGAGTACCCAGTAAGCAGTCCCTGCCATTAAGGAATTTATCATCTAGTGATGAAGTACCCATTATTATTTAGAAAACAGTGAAATTCCCATCATACATAGATTTAGAGTTGTTATACTCATATTTGCTGTATAACATTCAGGAAACATGGCATCTAATTAACTTCAGACAACTCTTTAGAAACAAAATGTCACACCTTTCTATCATGATCTCTAACCACTAGTTTTTAACAGTCCTTCCACTTCAAGCTGGCATCATCTGTAAGCAGATGAGAATGAAACAGTCATTCCAGTTTCTTTAGTTACTGATTAGAGGTTGCCCTCCACAACTACAGGAAAAAGCATTGTATTAGTTTGCTAGGGTTGCCTTAACAAAATACCACAGATTGGATGGCTTAAACGACAGAAATTATTTTCTCACAGTTCTGGAGGATGGAAATGCAAAATCAAGGTGCCATCAGCATTGTTTTCTGGTGAAATCTCTTCCAGGCTTGTAGGTGGCCACCTTCTCACTGTGTCCTCACACAGCCTTTTCTCTGTGCAAGTGTGGAGAGAAAGATCTCTGGTATCTCTTCCTCTTCTTATGAGGATAGAGCCCACCTGTATGACTTCATTTAACCTTAATTACCTCATAAAAGACCCTGTCTCCAAGTACAGTCACATTGGAGATTAGGGCTTCAACTTACGAATTTTGGGAGGAAACAGTTCAGTTCATAACAAGTAAATGCCTATTGGAGTGGTAACAGTTTTCCTATAGGAAAGAAAATGTTACTGCTCCAGGTAATGTTTTGCCCTAATAATTTAGACTACTTTCATATAGAAGGCAGGCTAATAAATTCGGGAAATAGAAATCACACTTGTTTTATCCATTGAAAAGCTGATGACATGGGTAAGAAGAATGTACCAGATGTACTTTTTTAGGAAGTTTAAAGTTTACATTGTGACTTGGTGGCTAGAGAAATTAATTAATTAATTAATTTATTTATTTTTAGTAGACGAACTCATTTACTCAACACATTAAATTAGGCAAGGAAAAATATATGCAACTGCATAAAAAAAATCACATTCCCATACTACTTGAACACACAGCAGTGGTCAAAAATAATGAATTATACAATAGACCCCAGGATTTAATGCAAAAAACATCCTGTACAGGAAAGTTTTAGGCTTCCAATTTCACTGAATCCAGTACTAAACGTGCTTCTTTATATTCCTCAGCTTCTTCCAAGTCTTTTTCACTTTCTAATATCTGCTGAAGATCAGTATACGCAGCTTCCAACCTGCGCTGGCAATCTGGGATCATCATCCGGGACTCTTGTAGGATCTCTGCCTGCTTTTTAATGGCATAATTTTCACCATCTTCAGCTTTCATTTTTTCGATCTTTTCTTCTTGTTGTTTTGCTTCTTTTTCATACATTACTTTTTCTTTGACCAATTGCTTCACCACGCCGGTCTTGATCTTGATCTGCCTTACACGAGGATCAGACATGGTCCCTGGAGCATCGCAGGAAGGAGGGGCTAGAGAAATTAATTTAAATAACTTATGTTTGAAATGGAAAAAAAAAGTTGTTTAGCCTCAAAATTGGCACAGAATATAATCCTGAAGAATGATGATATAAGAAAAGGGATTTCTTTATTGTGCTGAGAATGGCGTGCAGTTTTATTTTGCTTTTTATTTTGTTTCTACCATCCATTTATTACAAGGGGACTTCAAAAAGTTTGTGGAAAGATTCATACTATCTTTTAATTCCATTTTCCACACTTTTTGAAGTACGCTTATAGTGACACTTTGCTATTGCTGTTTATCCTTTATCTTATGCAATTTATCCAAAGATATGAATATTTGAATATACCAAATATAAAGTATATTCTAAATATATTCAAAGTATATTCTAATATAAACTATATGAGGGTGCTTCAAAAAGTTCATGTAAAAATAGAATTAAAGGATAACAAATCTTTTCACGAACTTTTTGAAGACTCCTCATATTTCTAACACATCTCCCCATCCTTGAAAACCATCAACCTGAAATTCTAAGTGGAAACCATAAGATAGTATCTGAGAACAAAACTGCATTCATTTTGCAGTCTAATTCCTATATTCTTGTGATCATTTAAAGACTTTAGAAAGAAGGAGAAAGGAGGAATTAACATTACTGTTAAGGACTTTACATATTATTTTTACAATCCTAACTTTACTGTGCAGTAGGTATTTTATCCCTTTTTACAGGTGAAGAAAATAAGATTTAGAGAAGTTAGGTAACTGATTAAGGTCACATAATTAGTGAGTGACAGAACTGGGAATCAGGTCTTGGGAAAGGAGAAGCTGGAATGTCATATCATTTTGTCCCTTTCGTTTGTTTGAATTTAAAACTTGCCATCTATATCCCTTGAAGTAACCATAGCAGGAAAAATATAGGCCATTCTTCTGCCTTTTACAGTCTGGTACGATGATTGTTCCCTTAGATGTTTCACAATGTCTGTTGTGTTCAAAACGCATCTGATAAATTATTCTGCTAGTTTTGAAGGGATGGGTACAAAAAGATCCAGCAGCTTCATCTTTAAAATCAATCCTTACCAATTGTCATAAGGGAAGCTTCTCTCTTTAATGTGTTTTTAAAAGAATTTGTAATGCTTATTTACTTAGCATAGTTGACAAAGGAGACACGAAGAATGTATTTAACTATCAGGATCTTTCTAGTAGGTTGACTTCAGGAGCACAACTTGCTGCTCAGCAATAAGCATCTCTCCTTCCTCTGGGCCAGCAGGCTGTGTTCAGGTTGTGCAATTCCTCAAAGGAAGGAGACCTTCCTGTCACCTCCAAGTGACTGCTGCTTCTCTTTTCTTCCTCTTCACACACATTCTTGCCAAAAAATATAAACGGTCACAACACACTAAAAAAAAAAAAAAAAGGCAGAGGTATAGCACTTACTTAAGTGTACATTGTATTGTACTTAGTTGTGTGTGTATATCTATCCCTGGTTCAGTTTTGAACTCCTATAGGCAGGGACTCTTCTGTTGTTTTTATCTCTCCAGGTAACATATT